CCCCCCCGCCGCCCCCCCCCGGTGCCCCCTGCACCTCTCACCCCCAGCCAGCCTGCCCAGCGAGGTGAGACCCCCCCTGGCCCCCCAGCTTCCCCTCTGGTCTCCCTGCTCTAGCCTCTGTGTCCTTGCCTTTTGCTGAGGCAGCGCTGCACCGTTCCTGTCTGCTTTGGGCGGCTCCTCCTCCCTGTCTGTCACAGTTGAAGCCCCTGGCAGGATTCCTAGGTTCTCTGGAAGGTTAGGACAGCCTCACTTGTCTGGGTTGGTGTCCACCAGGTCCCTGCCAGCACCACAGACACTGGACTGGTCATTTCTGAGCCACTGTTGGTCTGTAGGGCACTGAGCGCAGTTGTGGCCTCCCCCGGCTCTGGGCCCACACTGTCCCCAGACTTCACCGGTGTCCTCACCACAGGGCTCCCCGCTGAGGCCTGGGCACAGCTTCCTGCGGGATGGCGCCTCGCTGGGCATGCTGCGAGAGCTGATGGTTGTCATCCGCATCTGGGGCCTGCTGAAGCCCAGCTGCCTGCCCGTCTACACGGCCACCTCGGACACTCAGGACAGCATGTCCCTGCTCTTCCGGCTGCTCACCAAGCTGTGGATTTGCTGTGAGACATGGTGCCCGTTCACATCTTCCCACCAAAAGACAAGCCCGGCCAGGCCCAGCCCACACCAGGGCTTCTCACCATTTCCTTAGCTTTGGCATGGGCCCTCAGTCATTAGAGTGCAAGTCCCCAATTCACAGTTGAGACCTCAGAGGGCAGAACCCTGGGGAGGCTGCCCAAGTGCCTTGTGGTGACCTCCGACCCCTCCTGTAGGCCGAGACGAGGGCCCAGCCAGTGACCCTGACGAGGGCTTGGTGGATGAGTGCTGTCTGCTGCCCAGCCAGCTGCTGGGCCCCAGCCTGGACTGGCTTCCTGCCAGCGACGGCCTGGTCAGCCGCCTGCAGCCCAAACAACCCCTGCGTCTGCGCTTTGGCAGGGCGCCCGCTCTGCCGAGCAGCTCCTCCACTCTGCAGTTAGACGGCCTTGCCAGGTATGCGCGCTGCCCATCCAGCCTTCCCCTCACCCCGCCAGCCTCGGTCAGGTCTCTGCCCTGAGTGGGAACTTGTGGCCTTCCGCCTTTGCTCTTGCATAGAGGTGTTTGGTTTTGTAACCAAAACCAGGCTTGCTTCAGACTCCTGTAGGAGGAAAGTGATCTTGAGCTCTCATCCTCCTGCCTCCACGCTAAGTGCACAGCTTTGGGCGGAGAATTCATTTCCTTCCCACTTTCGGGTTTGTGGAGGCTGCAGTGCAGCTCCCACCGCCAGGAGAGGGTTTGCTATGCCCATCACACAGTGAGGCCTCTGCTCCCATCAACCCATATTCAGCCATGCTTGGTTCTAGAAACTTTGGTCCTATCTCACCAGAAAAATGGCCATCGGCTGTTGTTTCTTACAGTTGAGCCTCAGGATCACACACCAGAAGCCAGCCTCTGTTGCCAAGGTAACATGGTGCTGTGGGCACAGCCCCTACATCTCCCTTTTCCCCTCTCATCCCCAGGGCCCCTGGCCAGCCCAAGATCGACCACCTCCGGAGGCTGCACCTGGGCGCTTACCCAACCGAGGAGTGTAAGGCCTGCACCAGGTGAGGGTCTGCCGGCCAGGCCACAGACAGCCTGGGCCTGTAGGGCCAGGCAGCTTCAGGAGGCCCTTGGTAGCCTGTGTCGTGTGGGGTGTGGTTTGGGGTGAGGCGGGTGGAGTGGTGGGAGGGTGGGTGTCAGCAGCCCCTGCTCCCCAGGTGTGGCTGTGTCACCATGCTGAGGTCACCCAACAAGACCACGGCCGTGAAACAGTGGGAGCAGCGCTGGATCAAGAACTGCCTGTGTGGGGGGCTGTGGCGGAGAGTGCCCCTCAGCTGTCCCTAAGCAGACTCGGGGCCTCGAGTCCCATGGTCACACCCAGGCCACACACAGAGCTCGAAGGAGTTGGTCTGTGTGTTCACCCTTCGAAAGGTCACAGTCCGTATGCCCCTGTCCAGGTTGGGGATGTCGTCCTCAGTTTCCCCTTTAGGCCTATGGGAGCGGAAGGTGGGCCCAATAAAGTTCTCTTGTCCTCCAGGCCCAGCTATTACCACGGTCCCCACCACTTTTGCCCAGCAGGTGAGGCTCTGTGCCCACAGGTGTGCCGCCGCAGGCTCCCCTCCCCACGGCCTCTCTTCTGGTTTCTAGCCGCCTTTGCTCTTGGTCCCCAGGGGTCCTGCCTTCAGTCTTCCCATAGCATCTGCCCCTGTAGTCACTGGCAGCCAGGTCCAGGCCTCATGGAGCTGGGTGATTGGTTTTGTTTTCCCTGGCACCCAGTGGAGCAGAGAGTGCAGGGCAGGGGCACACAGGGCCCAGCCTGGGGAGGGCTGTGTTCAAGCCTGTGAGTGCAGCCACAGCCAGACACGGTGGCTCCCCACCATTTTGTTATATAGCTGGGGATCACCTTGAACTCCTGATCCTCCTGTCTCTCCTTGAGCGCTGGGATAGCAGGCAGTGCTCCCCTTCCTCCCGGAACACTGTACATCCAGAAGGGCCTGGGAGAACGGTGTGTCCCGTTCGGGGTTTTGTGACTTCCCATGGTGCCCACTGCTGGTCCTAGGGTGCTGCCTCTGTGGGGCGTGCTGGCCTTGCTCGAGCCATCCTTGACTTCCCGTGGCCAGGAGCATGGCCACTGGGGTGAGCGGCCATCCAGTGCAAGTTCCCTTCCTCCTTACCAGCCTGCGTGGCTGCTCACATCCCTTCTCTGCAGAGTGTGTGGGGAAACTGCAAGGGGCAGCTGAATGACGCATGTCTGCCGGGTGTGAAGCACCCTGGGATTGTGGGACAGCTGGCATTGAAATACTAGCCTCCTGAGGAGACACACCTGGGGCTTGCCTATGCCTGTGCCCACCCCTCTGCTGGAGCCTGGGGAGGGCACACAGTAGGTGCCCAGTACGTGCTTGTTCATAAAGATGAACCTGCCTGGCAGAACCAAAATTCAGGCCCAGGCTCCAGTTCTACTGCCCAGCAAGGTCCTGAGTGACCTCACCTCTCAGATGCTCAGTCTCCAATACCTACAGGAGGCCAAGGGCTGTCATTGTCTCAGTTTCTCTGTGCTCCGGGGAGAAAGGCATAGGGCTTGACTCTGGGTTCTGCCTGGTGTCACCCGCAGGGTGTTGATTCCACAGCTCTCCAGCCCATGTGGCACTGAAGACATCACCAACTCCCTCCTCAGCGAACCAGTGTGGGCTCTGGGTCAGAATCCAGCCTTTGTTTATGGCCTCTCTGCCTCAGTTTTCCCTTTTAGTGTTTTCAGAGCCTCCTGGCAGTGGTGTCTGACCTCTGTAGAATAGGAGTGGGCCTTACCCCACGGTTCCCTGAAAGAGCACGCGCGCCTCCGTGTGGCTGAACACGGAACTACCTGTCTTAAGCCTCCCGTGTGTGTGTGTGTGTGTGTGTGTGTGTGTGTGTGTGTGTGTGTGTGTGCGCGCGCGCGCAGCACACAGTCAATAAAGACTCACTGGGCTCAGACAAATGCATTTATTGTGAGACACGTGTCTCCGAGGTCCCTTCAGATCGTCAAGTTACCATTAATGACGTTTTCGATCCAGTCTATATACGTCGACACGCGGGTAAAGACGCCCGGCTTCTTTCGGTTTCCACAGACTCGCGAGCCCCACGCTACAATACCCTCGACCGTGTTTCCGCACACCAGAGGGCCACCGGAGTCTCCCTGTGGGGTGGGGCCACGAGTGACGTTCCCGCCCAATAGCCAAGCCACTGCAGCTCCAGGACTCCTGAACACCACTCTTCCTGCAAGCCACGCCCCTCGCTGGCCTCTGCAGACCCTCGGGTTCCACCCACCCACACCGCTTGACTCGGGCCTTGCCACTCACCCTGCAGCTGTCCCTGCGGTTGCTCTCTGCACACATCATGTTCTTGGTGACGGCCCCGTCGTGATACACGCGCTGATTGCAGGTATTCCGGTCCATGGTTGGCACTGTCAGGGTTTGCAGGACGTCGGGCCTTCGCCCCGCGTGGCTGACCACACCCCAACCGGCCACGTGGCAGAGCGTTCCGGGGGGCACGTCTCGGTCCTCGCGTTGCAAGGGCAGAGGGTGCACGTGGGGGCCCAGCGAGACATTCTGGGACAGCTAAGGGTGGGAGAAGGGTAATGTCACGGTAGGGGGCGGGGCTGGGAAATGGACTGGAGTGATGGTGCAGGAGGAAGGGTCGAGGCTAGACCCTGAGTGGAACCCAGGGGGTAGGAAGGACCCGGCCTCCCCACCTGCAAGAGGAGAAGGTCGTCCTCAATGCTGTCGGGCCCGCTGCCCGGGTGACGCACTGCACTTTGCACATCGTACAGCCGCTTGGAGGGTTCAGGCATCGACAGTGAGTGGGCACCCAGGAGTACTTGCACAGTCTCATTCGTGGTCCTGGGGACATGACGAGGGCCCACCTCAGATCCACGTCCCAGCCCCCCCCCCGGAGGCCTCCCTCCTTTCCCCCACCCCCACCACTCACACTCCGTCCATGCAGTGCGCAGCGCTCAGCACCCACTGCTCATCCACCAGGGTGCCACCGCACACGTGTGTTCCGTTCACTTGCACCGAAGCCATGTAGGGCCAAGTATGGGCTTTGGCCTCCTGGCCACCCAGGATCCGGCCTCGGGGCTGCGCTGCTGAGGAAGGTGGGTGCACTACAATGATTAGTCTGGGCTGCACCCAGAGAGACGCCAGACACCACCTCGCCCCTTCCCGTTCGCCCCACATCCAGAACCCCATCCATCTCTGTAAAATAAGAAGCCTGGTGGGTGGTGCACACCCCTCAAGACCACAGTGAACCTGCAGCAGTCGGAAATCAGCTCGCAGGGAATCTCGTCTCTTCCACCACGTAGGTTCAGGAGACCAAAGTCTTCTGACTTGACCACCAGCCCCTTTACCAACTGAGCCCTCTCACTGGCCCCAAGGTGAATTCTAGTTCTTTAATTCTATAAAGTCTACAGGTTTCAAATTCAGAGTCTTTCTGTTAATAAAAGCTCATAGAGTCCAGGAGGCTCAGACTGCAGACTGGTGTGTTTGACTGCAGGGGTGCGCCCCTGGTGAGCAGCCGCTGCTGTATCCAGCTGTCCCTCTCTGATCCACTCACCACATTCAGCCGCCCCCAGGACCACGAGAACCACGAGGCACACAGAACCGTGCATTTTGACGCTAACGAGTCCAGATGCTGACCCAGGCACCGGCCCTCGAGGTCTATATCATGGGGCAGGTGCCTCCCGCCCCCAGTCTGCCTATTGGGCAGAGAGCCAACTAGGGAATTGGGAATCTACTCTTTCCGATTTGAGTGTGTCGGCCCTTCTGGGACTGATTATGTAAACCTTCCATGTACACCAGGATCCTTTCTCTCCCTCCAGCCTGGGACCCCGGCCAGTGCCCATCCTAAGGGTGACAGCACTTGGGATGGGTGGGAGGCTGGACCACCCAGCACCCTGGCCCAATAACTGTCCTTCCAGCATGGTGTCTGTCGCAATAGCAGCGGCATGATGCCAGCTGGCGAACAAGTCTCCATCTTTTTACCCTCCCACACTTCCTCCTCCAACTTGGAAAGAGGTTGCTTGTCCGTGGGGGCAGGGAACTTGAATCGGCATTCCTGTGTCCGAGAGGGGCCCACACCTCAGCAGTGGGGCTGAAGGAAATGGGAAGGAAAGTCATGAATTTTGCCTTCAGGTGTGACCTGATCCCGGGCATCCTCTGCTTTCTTGTCCAGGCTGTTCCCTATCGCGGCGCAGGGACCTCACAGTCTGCCCCCCAGGCCAACCCCTAGGGTGCGCTCTGGAGTGGAGCGAGGAGGTGGGGAGCTTGGAGGGTCCGCGAACCAGTTCCCCTCAGAGCAGTAAATTCTCTCTTTGGGGGTAACTTAATGTTGCAGATATGATGTCAGAACCCCAGGAGTCTGCTTTCTTAAAATCAGAAGCCACCTGGGTGCCTGAGGCTTTCAACCCCAGCACTTTGAAGGCAGAGTGAGGAGGATCTCTGTGAGTTCCAGGCCAGTCTGGACTACAGAGTGAGACCCTGTCTCAAAAGCAAAACAAAACCAGAAGCCTTTTAGGCCAGAATCCAGATTGTGCAAAAAGAAACCTGAGAAATTAAAAAAAAAAAATTGGCTGCCACCCAGGGTCAGACAGCCATAGGACACTTCAGCAAACAACTCAGAGCTTCCACACACTTGGAGGTCTGTCCTAGTGGGGGGTGGGGCACGGGGAGGAGGGTGGGCGGGACAGAAGAGGCCGATTAGGGGCCACCTAGGACAGAGCTATGGCACCTACTGCTGCAGCCTAATGGGAAAGTGGATAATTTCTCATTCTATTATTTATCTGCATGCTTTGTTTATTTAGTTGTCCCAGGTACAGTGTGGCGGCTTGCAGGGGTCCCCCTCCACCATGCGCTTCCCGGGACGGGCACCTTCGCCACTCTGCCACCTCACGGTCACTTTTATTGTTCTTATTTTGTGATGTATATGGGGGTGCGTTGCATGCCTGGTGCCCACAGAGTCCAGAGGAGGATATTGAGGCCCCTGGAATGGAACGGGAGCGATAGGTAGTTGTGAGCCACCATGTGGGAACCCAGGCCCCTAGGTCTTAACTGCTGAGTCATCTCTCCAGCCCCTCTATGTTTTTCGAGACAGGGTCTCACTGTGTAGGCCAGACTGTTCTCAAACCCATGGCAATCCTCCTGCCTCTGCCTCTTGAGTGCTGAGACCTAGCTGAACGTGGGTTTTAGGGAACTGAAACCCAAAACGATCATCTCAATGTCTCAGTGATAACTTTTTTTGGTTTTCCTTCTTTCAAGATAGGGTTTCTCTGTATCTTTGGAGCCTGTCCTGGAACTAGCTCATGTAGACCAGGTTGGCCTCAAAGTCACAGAGATCCTCCTGCCTCTGCCTCCCTCCCGAGTTGTGGGGATCCACACGTGTTTGAGATCCGCCATTACAAGATGGCGCTGAGAAGTGTGGTAAACAAGTCTATTTTGGCATGAGTCTTGCCTTAGTTTGCCCAGCAACAGCTTTGCCCCAATCCTAGCCTGACTAGTGTCCTGTTAGAGGGGAACGTCTCTTCAGCCTGCATATAAGCCGCCACTCCTCCCAGCTCGGGGCCCCTCACTTCCAGCTCTCCCTCAACCAAGCAGCGCTTCAATAAACGTGATCAGAGATCGTGTCGGTGGTCTTTTTTCCCCTGCTGGTCAGGGGGCTCGCCACAGCTGGTGCCGAAACCCGGGACGGCACCTAGCAGACACTTGTGAGGGGCCGAAGAGGATTCAGAACTCTACACGTGAAGCGGACGACATCGGTAAGTCCTCTCAGGTATGTTAGTCGGCAGGATTGACCCGCTGTGGTTTGCTCTGTTTGTTATTCTGCTAACCCTTGTAGTCTATTTTTGTTGTTTTTGGCTGCGGTGTGATGAACCTGGAAAAGAGTGTCTTTGTTGGGTGTAGAAATCGAAAGTAAGTCCGCTGTAGATAAAGTGGCTTTCGATTAACACTAAGACTTCATAAAGAAAGAAATCGAAAGTAAGTCCGTTGTAGATAAAGCGGCTGTTGACTAGTGTAAAAAACCTAGTAAATAAGTGAGCAGTATGGGCCACAGTCATAGTACCGAGTCAGGAGTCTGTGACTTCACCAGTCCAATACAGAGTTTGTTGAAACAAAGGGGTTTAAAGATTTCTACGAGTACCATTCAGGCCATCGTCAAGGACATAGATAAGACTGCACCGTGGTTTGCCGTCTCTGGCGATCTCACCCTCAGTTGTTGGGAAAAACTAGGCAGAGATTTAGAGAAAAATGATCAATTAGGCAGAGGAACACTCCCCCTGTGGAGATTGGTACATTTGTGCCTTAAGGAAGGGAAAAATATAGAAGTAATTAAGCAAGGACACAGGGTACTATCAGAGCACCAGGATAGTTTATCAGAAGCAGAATCAAAAGGAGAGGATCAAAATATGTGCACAAATAAGAAAAAAAAGGAAAAAGGCTAGCCAAAAGGAAGAAAAAGAGAGGGAAGAAAAGAACCCTCATAAAAAAATACAAAAAGATAATATTAAGAAAAAGCCTCCAGGGGGCTGGAGAGATGGCTCAGAGGTTGAGAGCACTGACTGTTCTTCCAGAGGTCCTGAGTTCAATTCCCAGCAACCACATGGTGGCTCACAGTCATCTATAATGAGATCTGGCGCCCTCTTCTAGCATGCAAGCATACATGGAAGGAATGTTGTATACATACTAAATAAATAAATCTTAAAAAAAAAAAAAAAAAAAAAAAAAAAAAAAAAGAAAAAGCCTCCAGCTCCCTTATATCCGGTGCTGAAAGAATTTGCCTCCCTCAAGATAACGGACTCAGAGGAAGAGGATGAGCTAACTGAGCAAGAAGAAGAGGATTTGGAGGAGGCAGCTACACGTTATGAGGAGGAGAGGTATGATCTGCCAGTAAGGGGCAGACGAGCCAAATTAGGAACGGGGCCAATGGCGCCTTCGGCTCCGTATTCTGAGTCGGCTCCACCCCCTTATTGCCCTCCTCAGAATAAATGTCATTTTATTGGTGGGAGAACCTGGTCCCGCCTTGCAGCTGCTTTTCTAGTATTTCAAGATCCTCAAACAAATGCCAGATATCATGAGCCCATTCCTTATAAGCAGCTCAAAGATTTAGTAGAAGCATCAAAGACATATGGAGCAAATGCCAGCTATACACTCACACTCTTAAGCAGGTTAGCCAATCAGGCTATGACTCCTTCGGATTGGTGGGAAGTCGCTAGAGCCTGCCTTTCCACAGGACAATATTTGGATTACAGATCAATAGTTACTGATGCAGCTCATGGGCAAGCTCGAGTTAACGCTCAGAATCAGCAGCCCACGTGGAATACGGATATGCTATTAGGACAGGGACAATGGGCGGCTAATCAGACGGCCTACCCATTGCAAGTGTATGCACAAATAAATGAGATTTTTCAAAAGGCTTGGAAGACTTTGCCTAATAGAGGAGAGGTCTCTGAAAATTTAACAAAAATTATACAAGGACCTAATGAGCCATTCTCAGACTTTGTGGCGAGAATGCTTGAAGCTACAGGAAAGATCTTTGGAGATGTGGAGCAGGGCATGCCTCTAGTTCAACAGCTAGTGTATAAACAAGCTACCAAAGAATACAGAAGAGCCATTACTCCATGGAAAGGAAAAGGCTTAAAAGCTTGGTTAAAAGCTTGTAGAGAAATTGGTGGACCATTGACCAATGCAGGCTTAGCTGCTGCAGTAGTGGCTGCCACTCGTAGGCAAGAAAACAATGCAGGAAATTGCTTTACATGTGGACAAAATATTGCTGGAAAAACAGCAACAGACAGACATGCTCTGTTTGAAAGCAATTCCGTCTAATTTTAAGGCCTGCTGTAATGGCACAGGCAAACAAGATTTGCTCTTTGGAGCAGAGATCTGTAGATCTTTAAGTTCAAAACCAGCCTACTTCCAGTACTGATTGTGCTGAATTTTTACACTGAGAGTTTTTAATACTCTTAAATATTAATTTGGGAGGAGAGTTTTGTTTATGTTTTTCCAGGAATGCTGACATACATCTGGGTGCCAGCAAGACCGACAAGAGAAATAAAGAAGAAAGATGACCCAGTGGATGCTGAGTGTCCTGCTGTGGAAGATTCATGTGGAGGCAGCAGAGATGACCTTCAACCTCATATGTGTATTACCCCCTATCCTGCTACCCTTAATGATTCCAAAGCTATATCAGCCTTATTGAGTAAAAATTGGTCCCGAGAGCTTGAACAGCTTCAAGCTAATTTTACGCTTAAGATACATATGCTTAACCAGACAGAAGCAGGAGTTGTTACATTGGGACAGTTTTCTGATTGGTTAGTAGCTACATTCACCTATTTTAAAGAGTGGGTTGGAGTTGGCATGTTCGGCATAATAATTTTTGCAGGTCTGATACTTGTCTTGTTCCTGCTCTGTAGGATGCTGCGTGTTAGGAAACGGGAGAAGGTGGCAATTGCTCGAGCTTTGGCAGCTATGGAAGCCGGCCAGTCCCCCCAAGCATGGATCAGTATTTTTCAGGACCTCTAATCCTGTGCCCTTGCACCTGGAGGCCTTGTTGCCATTGCACCCAGAGGGACTGGATGATCGGTTGGCACCGGTCAGAGGCTATCACGGGTAGCTTGCACCTGAGAGTGCACTGATAAGATCCTATCAGGGGGATATGATGCTGAGCATATAGGTCGCCCTCAAAGTTACCCTATCCCTAGAAAAAGAGTGGCAATATTTTTCAGGGCAGCATCCACTGTCCCCAGCTATGACCGGTACATTGTTTCATGATTTAAAACAAAAGGGGGAAGTGTGGGGATCCACACGTGTTTGAGATCCGCCATTACAAGATGGCGCTGAGAAGTGTGGTAAACAAGTCTATTTTGGCACGAGTCTTGCCTTAGTCTGCCCAGCAACAGCTTTGCACCAATCCTAGCCTGACTAGTGTCCTGTTAGAGGGGAACGTCTCTTCAGCCTGCATATAAGCCGCCACTCCTCCCAGCTCGGGGCCCCTCACTTCCAGCTCTCCCTCAATCAAGCAGCGCTTCAATAAACGTGATCAGAGAAGGATCCTCGTGTCGGTGGTCTTTTTTCCCCTGTTGGTCAGGGGGCTCGCCACACCGAGTGCTGGGATTAAGGCATGTGCCACCACCACCCGGCAGTGATAGATTTTGTACAAAGTGGAGAACATGCCTCTTGCTGTGACTTGGCCCCAACTTGGCAACTGAGCCCAGGAGGTGCCCCTCCCACAAGGCTCTAGTCTGCACTCTGTGGCATGGTCAACAGACACCAGATCCTGTGTACAAAGGAAACATTGCTTTTATTGAGGGCCGTCTTGAGCAGCTGAGGGGATGGGCCGATCAGCTGGTCCCACTCTCGGGATCTCTGGGGTGGATGTCGGGGTGGTCATCATGGCTGCGGATAATGGAGTTGATCCAGTCTGCGAACTCAGCCACAGGCGCAAAGGCATCTGGGAACAGTCCAGACCCGCAGCCCCCACGAATGAAGGAGTCGATGCCTTGGACAAGTCCATTACAGACCAGAGGTCCTCCAGAGTCACCCTGTGGAGCATCAAGGTCAGAGACTGGACCTCTAGCCCCGTTTCCCACACTCCGCACTGGCACCTCCAGCCCCCATTCCCCACACTGCACACTGGCACCTCTAGCCCTGTTCCCCACACTGCACACTGGCACCTCTAGCCCCGTTCCCCACACTGCACACTG